CTAGTCAGGTTCGTTACATTCACTTACGTGCGAATACCCTTGGGTGATGATGAATTGAAAAAGACATGATCACCAAAACGTGTCAGATCTGCCCCTACCCACATGCATTGGGCCAGTGCAATAGGGTAATGGTCCATTTCTACCCTTTAGGCCTTCCCGGAGAAAGGCTGAAGAGAAACAGATGAACTCTCAATCAAAATGAACGTCAATTTTAAATACATCATGTGGAAAGTTAATGCAAACCAAGTTGTCTTATATTCTATAACTACAGATATATGCAAATTCTGATTTAATATTTCACGGTTTTACAATCTAAATATCAGAATCACCTGAAGATAGTGCCTCTGGATAATATGTCAAATTTTTCTCCTCCCGAAAGCAAAACACATGTGCCTCTTATTTTCTTCCATTTTTTTTTTTTTTAAACAGCATTTCAACTCCATTGTTATTTAATACCATGATTTGTTTAAATGGGAGACATTTCAGTTTTATTTTGAAGGGTGAGTTCATTTTCAATTTTTTCTATTGATAGGTCAATTTTTTTTTTTTTTTTCTCAATCATTTCACCCCAAGCAAAGTCATGATGCCACTAAGATGCAGAGGCTTTACTGGAAGTGAAAGAGAACAAGAAAACTTTAGTGAAGCAAAAGGACAATAAAAGAACAGGATTCAGAAAGATAGATGAAGAAGATTGATGTTTCATTTAAATTTTTGAAGATCGTAGGCAGCAGGGAAACAAGAAACCAGAATAGAACTTGGCAATTCCAGGTTTGTTTTATTTTTTGTTTTATTTTTCATTCTACAAAACAGAAAATTTCTTCCAAAAGATTTCCTACAGACTTTTAGCATTTTCAGTTCAATCAAGCACTACACACTCTACAATATATCGAAACATAACATTCTCCTACTGATTCAAATAATGACAGAATATCTCCATCTCGTGCAGGTGTTCACTAATAATTAAGGAAAAAGAGAAATCTTTTTTTGCCAAGAAAGCATTAAAGTCCTGAACAAGAAAGCAAGAGGGGGGGAAAAAAAAAAAAAAAAGATGCCAGACTCAAAGAATCAAGACCTAAGAACAATTTTATCTAATTGTATTACTCAAGTTTTAATTACAGCTAACAAGTCATCTTGGGTTAGTCAGTTTCTTTCACATGTCAAAAATGCAGGCAAGCAAGAGCAAAGACTGTTTCAAGGTTTACATTTGAATATTTTATTCCTATTTGTCACCATTGTTAACATTCATTCCTGGGCCTCAATAAATAGTGTTTGATCTGAAAAGTTATAAAATATGATCCTCCGAGTTTAATTTGTTGCATTTGCGAACTAAAATGCATTAGCAGGAAGTGTCTGCACTCTCTTGGTCATATAAACAGTTCGAGCAGCAACAGTCAAATGCTGTATGATTGAGTAAGTATATTTATAGAACTTTGAAATAAACTGATTTTTATTCAACTGTTCCGATAAATTGACACATTTTTCATAAAAAAATCTACTATTAACAGGTATTAAAATTTATGAAAAATGAACTAAAAATCTGATTAGCCCCCAAAATAGATAACTTATGTTAGCATCAAATTATATTTCAGAATACATCCTATCTGTAACACTTGTCTTAATTCCAGGGCATTGATAATCCCTTCCTTCCTCATTTTGAATCCACACCATACACCTTTCTAACTTTTTTTTTTTTTTTTTTAATTAATTTATCCCAAGCAAGGTGAGAATGTCAAGAGGCTACTGGAAATGAAAGAGAATGAAAAAAAAAAAAAAAAAAAAAAAAAAAACTTTAGAAGGAACCAGAAACCCAATTATGAACAGAAAATAAGGGATAAACCTCTACTTCCATTCAAAAAACCAAAGAGGTGTGTGAACTGGACAATAAGCAAAGCAATAAAAAAAAATTTTTTAAGAAAAAATTTTCTGTTTCATCTGAATTTTTCCTACCCTTGAACAGAATTACTTTGAAATTGCTAAAAATGACTTAAGCTAAGCAAGAAATTGAGGCAAGTAATGATTAAATCTGATGATCATGAATCCTGTGATCCATCAGAGTCGTAGGGGTGCTACACATACTGCAGCTGCAGTAGAAGTAGTGTTTCTTGGGTAAAATAGCCTGACAGAGCCCAACCCTCTTGAGGCAAGTTTTGAATTTAGAGTTTTCTTCTCCTAGACTGGTTGCCACCCAAGGCCATAGAACCCAGTCTGTACTACTATTTTTACCCATATCTGAAAGAAGAGGATTTATATTTTTTCCAAGGGTATTAGTACATAAGTGAATGTAATGGATCTGACTGGAATTCAAACTCTGTTCTCCGATTCCTAAGTCCAAGCCACTATCCATTACTCCTGTGTCTCTTATTAAGTTTGTAGGCAGTGATAAAAACAGAAAAATAAATTTTACCTACATACTTCAGGTGAAAATGCAATTGCATTAAAATACCAGTGGCTTCCAGCCACATCACACTGAAACATTGGTTCCCATACAATCACCTCAGTTAAGCAACATTGAGAATGGTTAATAACCTAGATGGGTAACTGCTTGAGAATGCTAACTGCTGTAATCTTGGATGTGCAGGTGGTATAATGGATAATTAACAGAATTGTTAATCAGAGAGCAGAGTTCCAATTCCCATTAGGTTCATTATATTCATTTATACCCAAATACCCTTGGGAAAGGTATGAATCCACCTCTTCTTCCCTACCCCAGATATGGCTTAATGAGTAAGATTTGTATCACTAAACCATTATTAATTGAAAATAGAAATAAAATTTTTTACAATTTAAAAATATTTCTTTGCTTTAAATAACCGCAAAGGGTTGATAAGCCATAGAAAAATCAAGAAACTACTAGTGTTATTTCTTTCCTACCATTAGAATTTAATGCATATGTGCTACACATGCCAAATGGTTGGAATGTTCACTTTCTGGCCACAAGACCAAGGCTTGAATCTCACCATGGTCAATTTGTCAGGAAGATGATTTCTTGATATCAGCCTGGGGAGGGGATATGAGCATGCATCACATTTGGTAAGTGCCAAAAAAACATCTCAAAATATTGACCTAAGCCTTGTGAGTGAAGTTGGATCGATAAAACTGTTCAGAGGCCATCGATGGTTGCACTAGCATGAAGTCATAAGTCACCGTAACCAAGAGTTTGACCATGCTGGTTTTGTTCACACTGTTGGTCACGCCAAATAACACACACTCTCCCAGAAACTTAAACTATGGTCAGCTCAGTATACTTTCAGTATAATCCATAGGTGAGTTCCATGAGAGTTAAACAGACACAAATGTGCCAGAGCAGGTGTCTGCAACAAGGATTGGTTAATTGCCCTAGCAGATGGGTACACTCAGAAGTGAGTAACCAACCATTCATCATTAGATTGATTGACTGATTTGTTTTTCATGACTTATCAACCTTTTGCAGGTTATTTAAAACCAGAAAACAGTTTTAGATTGTAAAAGTTTTCGAAATTATTTACTGATATTTGCTACTAATTGACTATAGCTGAGGCGGGGGGTGATGGTTTCATGCCTTTTCCAAGGGTATTTGCACATAAATGACTATAACAAACCTGAGTGGAATTCAAACGCATCTCTCCATTTCCCAATCATGAGCCATTATCCATTGCATCTCTCACACATCCACATCCTGGGTAAGATGATAAACTACATCCAGCAGTAAGGCCTCTGATCAGGAGGTTTTGAGGAGCGTGGAACCACCTCTTAATTGCTGATGTTCCCAGGTCCACCCTGACCCAGGGTGGTAGCACCTATTAGGGTCCCAGCTATGGGCAAATAGTTAACTATTACCAGCAATACTTTTTTGAAAAAATTATTACCAGCAATACAATTTTGAAGGGAAAATATTACCAGAAACAGACTTTTGACAAAACAAAATATTACCAGCAATAAAAAATGTTTTCAGCATTAAATAACCCATTGAGGTTGATATACTGTAAAACAAAATAAACCAAACCTCTCACACATCCAAGCAGTTACCCATCTAGCAACTGACCAGGCTCAACATGGCTTAACTTTGATGATCAGATGGGAAATGGTGTTTCAATGCAATATGCCTGTGAATCCAATTAATCATTTGAGGGGTGCAAATCTTTAATATATTTGTTTAATAAATCTTAAAATTTTAACAAATTTTATTCTTTTTTTATGTACAGTGAGAGTAGAAGTAGAGCAATTGTTCCAAAGCTAGTCTCAATACTTATGAATAAACCTGCATTTGATTCTCACAAGTCGTCTCATTACTGTGACCATTTACCAGACTATCAACCCAAGTAGCCAATGAAGACTTAATGACTCACACAAAGAGAACAAGATTTTTTTTTCTAACTTGAGAATATTTTTGGCATTTTCTCTCTTCCTTTGACAATGATGATAAAGAGAAAAAAAAAAAAAAAACTGTCCTTATACAGAGCTAAGAAGAAAAACCACTCATTTATGACTTGGGAAAGATTTAAACAGAACTGTAATTGCAAACTAAAATCGGAACAGCTTATCTTTAGTCGTTTGTTTAATGGTTGTAAGTTGATCATTATCAAACAATAGGTTGCCATCAAAAAGCAGAGACTGATGAAGATGGTTTTTATCTTCCCCCTTCATCAGGAATTTAAAAATCAATATAGATGGAGTTCATTTTCAAACACTAGCAAAAAGTTGAAGATAAACTGTAAACCAAAGTGAATAGTTGGTTGGTTGGTTGGCTGTTTTTGTTTAGTGACATATCAACACCTCTATGGGTTATTTGATGCCAAAATCAAAATATTTTATACACAATTTTATTTTATTTTTGTAGATAATAAGGATTTAGTGATACAATTTTTACTAATTAACCACAGGTGGTGGGGGAGAAGAGGTGGATTCATAACTTTCCCAAGGGTACTTGTAAGTGAATATAACAAACCCAAGTTTAATTGGAACTCTGCTGTCATATTAACAATTCCAAGTCATTTATCCATTACACCACCTGCACATCCAAGCTTACAGCACCTGGTATTCCAAGGTGGTCACCCATCTAGGTGCTGATCAATCTCAACATTGCTTAACTTCAGCAATTGTACAGGAACTGGTGTTTCAACATAATGTGGCTGTAAGCCAAAATGAACAGTTAAAACTGTTCACATATATATATATATATATATATATATATATATATATATATATATATATATAATGGTTGATAACAATCATCCTTCATAAATACTATAACCAAAAACATCTCACTGTCAGAGAAGCCTGCTACATAAAAAAAACATCTGGCACCCAGTATTAATCCCATGCTATTTAGCAGTGGAAATCGTGTGTTAAAATTTTTTTTTTTTTTTTTTTTTTTTTTTTAAATAGAAAGACTCCAACTCGTTTCAATCCTTTCATGGGGTCTTGGAATAAATGCTACTACTATATAGGTATCATGAAACTACATCTTAAATGGACAAGCATAAGAAATTAACAACACTCAACAATAAACCCCTTGAAAATGGCACCAAAAGTGCTTGGAACCATAAACATTACTGATCATTTTTTTTTTTCACTCCCGTTCCCCCATCAAACAGAAAAATGTAAGAATATTAGAAAAACTAAATAAAAAAATTCAAATTTTCTATGTCATATTCAGTGAAACAAGTTTGAAAAAAAAAAAAAAAAAAAAAAGGGTTACTGCCCAAATATATAAGTTTCATTAAAGACTACTGAAAAGGGATTGTGATTAAGCTTTTTATTTAATTTTTCTTGTGTACATATACATGTTTCCTTTTCTGGACATACAGTGTGTAAAAAATTGGCCATAGTTCAATTGGGGCTCATTTAAATACACACACAGAAACCTACCCAAAAAAATCTGCAACATACTTGTAGAAAATACAAGTATAATAACATCATCCATATGTAAAAATAAAAAAAAGTAAACACTCAACAATAATATCAACTATGAACACGGCCACAATGTGCTGCCTGAGTTTGAAAAATAAAACATTCCCATCAATCTAGGAAAAATGGCTAACAGAATAACTGAAAGCACTTGGATATATAGAACATTTCTACAATTTTTACACACATGATGTCTAGAAAAGAGAACAGTCATATTAACACAAGAAAAATTAAATAAAGCTCAATCACAGTACCTTGTCAGTCATTTTTAATGAAACTTGTAAAAAAGAGGGATTGCTGCCCAAATACACAATTATATAAGATATAAAAAAATCAAAAGCAGACAAAGAAAAATAAGTTTAATGCTTATATGCGTGAAGTCTACAAAAATGATCTTTTTTAAGCCATCAGAAAATCTAAAATTTCGCTTTAATTTTGAATTTTGTTTAAATTTTTCTTTTATTTTTTTTGAGAGGGTGTATTTTTTTCCTCTCTGCTCATTTACCAATAAGAACCACACCTTTGAAAATGAATTAAAAACAAGCAGCAAAGAAAAGCGATTAACACAATGTGCAATTAAAAGAACAAATATTTCATACTTTAATTAACGGCTAACTCCCTCTATAATGAGCAACTCCAGTTAATATAGCTCAAGGTTAAGAACTTTGATCTCAAGATCACGAAGTCTGTGTGGTTGATAGCCGGGAGAAGATAAAGCTACTTATGGCATCTAATATATACCTTGCAAATCCAGTGCTTGTAAAATCAACAATTTCTGTTTGCTGGTGAACCGCTTCATTTTCTTTATGATTTATCAACCATTTATGACTTATTTAAGGCCAAAACACATTTTTGTGAGTTAATATTGCATTAACAATTTTTGGAGGATATAACAGTTTTTCCATGTACAAACAAGTCTTACTATTTAATCCATTGCTGGGAGGAGAGGAGAGGGGCTTCATACCTTTCCCTAGGGTATTTTCACCTAAGTGAATGTAACAAACTTGACTGGAATTTGAAACCAGCTCTCCAATTTTCCATTCCAAGATGCTATCTATTACAACAGCTGCACATCCCAAATAAATGACAAAGTGACAAGTCAAAATTAAAACCAATACACATGAGTTTTAAATAGACAGAGGGATTGGAATAAAAGAGTAGTTGGAATATTTTTTGTATTTTTTAAATAAAATTTTTTTTTTTGTAACACACTAACATGTTGAAATCTTAACAGTATTTAGTATCATTGAAGTTATCACTAACATTTTTTTGTCAAGATTTACAAACTATTCATTTCATTCAATTTCACAAACCAATCGATGAAATTTGAACAAGTAGATTTGTTTGGAAAAATACTTTGACAAAAATCTTATTGCATGGTTTAATAATTTCTTTAATTTAATTTTATAGGACTTCATAGTAAACAATATTTTTTTTAAGAAAAATTAATTTTTTCTTTTTAACAGTGAAGAATAAATTCTTAGAATTTCTTACTCTTGAGCATGCAACTGGCCATGTATAAATATTTCTTTCTGGAGCCAAATTTCAACTTTTTGAATCATTTGGCCTTAGGATTTGTTTATAGTTCTCACAAACGTTTTTAAAATGATGGAAGTATTTTGTATGTTAAATAATAAAACTTAATTCTTAAAAAAAAAAAAAAAAATTAATGCAAAGGTTTTATGCTATGCACCTTATTAAAACCAACTGTACTTTGTACCCCCTTACTTGTCTGCACTTCTGCAAGATTTGGTTTCAATCAGTCAATGTATGGCTATTTGAGAGGGAGTGATGGACTAACAGAAGTCACATAATTTTATATAGAGATTTTCCATAATAAAACATTAACATAGAACACTCACATGCTAAATTTAGGGGTAGGGAGGAAATTTCCTTTATATTTCATAAGAGGTGATTAGTCTAAGCATGTCCAACTCCCTGCTTCTCCACTCAAAAAAAAGTAAATATCCCAGCTAGTTTATTAGAAACTCAAAGGTCATCAAAGTATCTCTTCAAAGTGACAATGGACCAGCAGAAAACCATCTTGGAATACATATTCTTTCCCAAAGAAACAATACCAAAATTTCTTCATTTAAGTACAAAACTGAGAGACCAACAAAATCAACTTTCCTTTCTCCACTCAACACAGATAAATTTATCTCTACACAGCAGTTTAGTCATGAAAACCACAAGGTCCTTTATCCCATCTGGACAAACAAGTCTAAAACATTTTCATATATCAAAACTAAAAAGGGAAAAAAAAATTCATTTCAAGAAATCTATTTAACTATGCTGTGCACAAGATTCCAATCAATTAGGTGGTCAATTTATTCATTTATTTTTGCCTAATCTTGGAAAATTAAAAAAAAAAAAAAAAAATAAAATATCCACATATATAAAACACGTGTGTGTGGCATTCATATAGAAATATATTGTATTGTTTCTCCAATTCAAAATATTTCATTGAATTTATTTGTCACTTTCCCACTTTTGTAATGTGAGTTCCTGTGACTTTTCAATAAATACCTCCATGATAATTGTTCAGATGAACTCTTCAGTATTATTATTAAAGTCCCACATTGATTTTGTCCAGTTAACTGATGTTTCTACCACATTTAAGGATTGTCTTGGGGGAGAGGGAATATTACAAATATTATTTTCTTTAGTTTCTTGTATATAGTTTTGTTCATTTTTGTAAATATTCATTAGGGTTGAGATTATATTCCCCTCCCCTACAGACAATGAATTGTACATATGGGGACTAGTTAAGACTTTCGTAGAGACAATGAGGTATTATGGTGGATGTAGTAAGCAAGATAAGTCAGAATGTGTTATTTTGGTGGAAGAAATATTGTGGTAGGTTTTGGGCCTGTGTTTGCTGCTAGCTAAGTTTTAACATCAAGATGTATGAAGACTGTCCTTTTCCTTATTCAACATTTTGGCCTTATGCCACATTTTGTATTTGTACAAATAAATAATTGTCTTTACTATTGTACCTAGACTTTATGAATTTAAGCACAAGGCTAGATTGGTGGCATGGTCTCAACAATTCACAGTTGAATTGGCTAGATGTAACCAAAAGTTCTACACTAACAGTTTCTTTCCTCACACTTCTCGCTTGTGGAACTTTTCCAGATTCATGTTTTCCAACCAACTTTGATCTTCAAAAATTTAAATGCAATGTCAATCATTAACTACTGTCTTCTTGATTATTCTTCTCATTCCCCAATGTTTCTCTTTCTTTCTGTCTTGTTCTTTCATATTCAGTTACTCCTTGTCTCTTAATCGTTTTACTGTCTTGTATGGGGTGAAAGGATTATAAAAAAAACTACTCAGTGCAACAACAACATTGAATCAATAGCTGCATCTACTGCAAGGAAAGTTGGTGCTCTGTGTTGTGCCAGAAAGTTTTTTTCTCATCCAAGTCCATCCTACACATCTGCAAATCTACCATTCATCCATGCATTGAATACTGTTGCCAAATATGGTCTGGTGCCCCTGCTGTTCATCTTGAGGTTCTTAAATTCCAAAGACATCTGCATTGTGATTGGTCCTGACTTGGCATCTTGATTCCAGTCACTTTCCCCAAAGACATGATGTGGCTTCCCTCTATCTTTTCTACAAATATTTCTATGGCAACTGCTCTGACGAGCTATTTTCTCTGGTGACCCGACTGCATGAATTTGAAGGTGCTACTAGGTTAGCATCTAGGTTCCACCCTTTTACTGTCAAAACAGTTAAATGTAACTGCCATTTTTACTCCAACGGATTCTTCTCTCACGCTTCCTGACATTGGAATGCTGTTCCTCTTACTTGCTTCCCTGATGACTATAATCTTCAAAAATTTAAATGTAACATCAATCATCATTTTGTGATGTATTGATCCCTGTTCTTCTTTGCTTGGAGTGAAATACTTTAAAAAAAAAAAATAAATAAATAAAATAAAATAAATAAATAATTTCAGTCCTTTTACCAAGATTTGGCTTTAGGGAAGTGGGACCTTTTAATGTTTAGCAAATGAAACAAAACACTTAGGTAACATATCCTTTCTTTCACACATACTAACATGTTGAATCCAGGAAAAATGTTGGTTATCATTTAAGTTACATTTCACAAAATTGTTTACAAGTTCATAAAATTATTTCAAAAATAAATAAAATGAATACCAGAGTTTCAGTGCCAAGAAATTAATTCAAGTCAATGTTTTCTTTTTTTTTTGGCTA